ACCAAGTCCTGGGACCAAAACACCGAGTTTTTTTGGGGGGTGAAAGCTGGAGCCGCGTGTTTTCAAGCCAAGGACAACGGAGATGGTGAGGCCAGTGGATTGTTGGTCAACGTGGAGCATTGAGTCGTTGGACTATCCATGACAATGTTCTTTGTGATGCCTTTGTGAAAGTCAACGACCAGCGGCCCAACGACCCCTGCAACCCCAGACCTGGAGACGAGCAGACGAGCATCAGCTGGAGCAGAGGGACCCTTCACAGGTAAACCATGGTAAACCCTAAGAAACAGTGATGATGAGATATGATGATCGTCTAGGATATTACTTTTGATTGATTGCCTACCCTCCCTCCAACAAACATGGAAGCTGACCAGGACCCATTTGTAGAGGAAAACAGTCTTTTTTGCGTAGCCCACGCAGTGTACATCCTAGAGGTTGTGTCAGGGAGTGACTCGGGGAGTGTACATTTCTTGACCATTTTTGCGCAGGTGACCCTAGACGAATTTATCGACGGAGTGCTCCGATGCAAAGGACCTGCCCGGGCAGTTGATCAGGCGGAGTGCCCTTGCGACGGAACTCGACGTGGATCGGGATGGTGAAACTCTAACATGGACTCATTAAACCACTCGACCCTAGCCAGTTCCATGGATGAGTGCTTCCAGTGGTTGATTCTGCAATGGTAACAGGACTGTTTTGGTGAGAACACTCTTTTTGCCAGGTTGCCATGCACGCAGAAATCCGCCAGATCGACGCCAAGATCATGAAGGTGCAGATTGGTAGCAAACACGTTTGCCGGGAACGGGACTGCACCAGCCCAGCGCAAGCGCGTAAAGGTAAAGAATGTACTACACTCCCGAAAACTAACATAGACCCTGACAATGGTAACCTGGAAGATTGTTTTCCTCTACCAGCCAATAGCTTTCAGGATCCATGCTAGTTTTTCGGGAGTGTATATATGTTATGTTTATGTCCGATGGTTCAGCGGCAGATTGCAGCAAATGTACATCAAAACTTGAAGTCAGTTTTGTTGCAGTGTGTTCGATTGGTCTTCTGCGAGTGGGGCCGGGCGATGTGATGGACTGTCGCTGTTTGAGGTCGAGGGAGAGTTCTTTTGGGTTCGCGGTGTATCAACGCCGCCCGTACGCGCCTGTCATTTGCGTCGTGTTTCAGTGGTCGGCTGGGGTGGGCAGCTGGTAATGACGTGCCTGTAGCGATGTAAGGATGCAGGTATACGTCCTCCACTGCGTTTTCTTTTGTCTATTGCAACACACTTTTTTCAATTACAATTGCGTTTGAAACACACTTAGCTTGCGTGTTGAGTTGCAAAGTGTTGCGAATCATAATCACAAATAATATATATTATACTATCATGACAGAACTTTTGGCTTCACTTTTGGATGGCTGCAGATCACTTCACATATATATATATATAGATACTGATCGTATGTATGTAATATCACTTATATATTATATATATATATATCATCAACATGTCCCGAACATGTTGCTCGCACTCCCAACAACAACAAACTTTTTCCTTGGGAAAACGTGGGGAAATGTGATGCACCGGCCACGACACTTCTAAACCAAACCTGTTGCAAATACAAAAGCCAAACAATCCACAGACAAGAAACCAGCCGAAAGAAAGCAGGCATCCAGTTGTAGGGCGCTCAGAAGGTTTTTTCCGGCCGGTCGCGACTCGCCAACGCAGGTGGCGAGGCTGCTGACCGCCACCAATGCGAGCCGGTCCGTGAGTCAGTTTGGAGAACTGGCCACTCGGCCCGGTCTGCAGTCGGCCACCGGCGAAGTCCGGCGAAGTCCGGAGCAGTTGAAGTTTGTTCTGAGTTTTAAAGAAGAGGTCGGTAACAAATGACCAAGTGAGCTTGTTTTCGGCGCCAGCCAATTTAAACATACACGAATGTTTGTGTTGAAGGACTTGTCCTCAATCAAATCATCGTCAATGTAGTGCTTGAGTGTCCAGTGATGCGTGCAGGCCAATGCTGCCCGCCTCATCTATACAATGCAATATGTATATTTATACATATTTATAACATGTAGTATATATATATATATTTTGTTTGACTTTGCTGAATTCATTGGATCCAGCTTTTGAGAAGAAAACAACACACCTAGGACGTGAGCCATCACTTGAGGGCATTCAATCGTTGCATGACCAGATGCTCGGCTTCAGGGGTGTCAGGGTTGACCGAAGGACTTAAAGGGTAAAACACATGCAAACACCTTCTGACTAGGCATATTAACCTTCGTGCGGGTTTGTTGATCAGGGGTTCATGAGTCGTTTGGTCCAGCGCTCGAACTTGCCATTTGTGGCGATTCGTTCGGATGTTTGAAGAGGGGTCCAATGAGCGATCCGTTCCGGGCACGGGATGGAGTTCGTGAACCTCGGCTTTGGTTCGGGACTTCCAATGCGAGGGAAGTACGTGGATAACGTGCAAGACCTTTCGTGCGGGTGGGTAATCTCACTGAACATAGACAAGTGGAGAACACATAACATCAATAATTAACCATTGGAACCTTTTTTGGTGCGCAAATGCAGGATGGAACCGGTGTTTCAATCTACAGTGGTTTCAGAGTAGATGGCACAAACCTAAAGATGTCTTTCAGCTTGTCTTATATAAGCAATCGCCATCGCACGTGCAACAACTAATTTAGTAAATCTGGGTCGTGAAATTCAGGGGCTAAAACCAGGAAAAGCATGCAGGGCCCCCCTTGCTGAGCGACCTTGCTGAGTCATGTCCTTGACAGTGTGGCAGACGCTCGTATGGTTTTGCTCATGTGGGTCCAAACCTCTCAGGATTGCACCATCCACTCTGTGTGTCCACTGTACCAATTGAAAGCCTGTTTTTACATGTTTTTACACCGCTTGGTGTGTGCCTTTGCTGAGGACACAACAGCGATACTACCTGGTCCAGGTGATCCAACCTTCAATTTTTTTAAGCCTCCAGCGATACCCGCTTAAGCGAGGCGCATGAAAAGAAGATGGGCAGCTCAATGCCACACAAAAGCAACAGATGGTTTTTACTTTTTGTGGATATGTTCAAACGTGTTCAAGTGTTTTGACAGACCTCCCAACTCACTGTGTGGCACTGTGCTTTTGAGTCGACAGACCTGGGCCCTACGCTGCACAATAGTGATGTGGCTGCCGAACAGCCTGTTTCACTATATATATATATATTATATGGTTTCACCAAATGGCTTCTTGAAGTTGCCTGCTACCCTGATCAATCTGGGAGACAATTTTTAAACTATTTGGCCGCCTCGGGTGTGGGGACCTAGCACTGGCAAAGCCACTGGCTGGGTGTCCAAGCCAGGTTACAGCAAGCAGGACTCAGGCAATGTGCTTTCAATGTCAGCATGCAAAAGATGAATCTGTTTAGATCGCCCAATGAAGGGCTCCAATTGTTTCATGCCTGACCTGCCCTGTAAAGTAGCCTCCCCCATTCCTCAAGGAGTTGTTCAACCGGTTCTTCATGGTGGGAGAATGTGGAGATCACAAATGGGCTTCCGCACATTGAAGTTGATGATCCCTGTTGGCACTCATGAGAGACACAAGGCAAGCCAGCCATTGTGCTTTCCAAGGATTTCTTTAAAACATAAAGGCGTCAGGGGACAGTTGTATGTACACCACCAGCGGATGTTAGACGCGTTAGGAACTGGGGGAGGACAACTTCGACAAGATCTGAGGTTTTGGATCTATCCAAGGCCCATCGGAAGGCTTGCACCTAACAGGGGCCAATGGATTTTTTGAAGGTCCAGCGTTTTAGAGCAGAAGAGCTATTGACGAACAGTGTAAGTGTTTTCAGGTCACAGATCAAGAGACATAACATATAATGGTTTGGGGCTAATTGTAACTTATTAATACTTATGGGATTATGTTTACGATTTTGTTATATATATATATATCACGGTATGAAAATAATATTCGATCAATCCAAGGGTTGCAAGACATGACTAAGAAACATGCATCCCCGCTTGTATCAGTGACCATGTTTTCTAACACTCCGTGTTCACTCCGGGTGTTGATCACAACCGGCTGGAACTTCGTCATTTTTCCAACCTCCCAGCCTCACCAGTTGCACCAGCCTCAAATGGCGAGGGAGCGCAGAGTAGAGGGAGCGCCGAGCGCTGAGCGCCGGGAGAGAGATGAACAGCGGAGGGGAAAAGGTGGAGTGGCTTAGCTTTTTTGGGGGGGATTGGTGCCGGCTGATATGATGTGATAGTGGCAACGGGTTTGATATTTTTTCTGGTTGACACTGAAGAGGGCAGTTGGAGCCACCAGTTTGTGCAAGGACTTTACGATGAAGTGCAGCCGGGGGTGGATTCTGGACATGTGATATTAAGGGGCCTGAGTTCAGTTCCTGGTTTGGCAAAGGTTGGAGGACCATCTCACCACCAAAAGGAGTTAATCAACCATCTCATTGTCATGCTGGTGTTGTTATAGAATGAAACTAATTCTTGAGCCATACACCATTGTCAATCATTGTCATCAATCATCCAATTCAGTCCAATTTCAGATTTCAGTAGGCGGACAAAGATGGACACAAAAGGCTGAAGGCCCCAGAAAGATACAGGACTGTACATACATTTGCTCAAGTTGGTTGACAACAAAGAGTTCAAAGAACCAGTCCTACCCTTTTTTTAGCACGCTGTCGCCGGCACCTCGTTGTTTTTCCTTTGGCCGTCTATTGAGCGCAGTCACATTCAACTCGCTGCTCGCTTTTTTGGCTGTTGATGTCGTTGGGCTTCATCCAATGCTGAGATCGCTGAGATGCTATCAGCTATATACAATCGATCATGGGTGGGTGAAAGGGGGGTATGGGTGCCATACATGGAGTGAATGGGCAAGAGCAAACTTGACTGTGTGATTGAACAGCTGTGTGGATTTGTGCTCATCGTTTTGTTTGGGGCATCATAAACCACATCATGGGTTTGGTTGGTTCCTGTACCTCCAGGGGGGGTGCATTCTTCTCGCCCAAGTGCAGGGCTGGACGTCCGGAGCGTTCTTTGCGGAGCGTTCTTTGCGGAAGCTCCTCGCGCGGACGCCGGAGAAGTTTCGGATGGTTGGATGGAGGCAGACATGAGAACGAATGGTTGCCTGAGTGGTGACTTAAGGATCTTAAGGTGGTTGAAGATGGTTTTAGTCTTGTTCAATCTTTACTTGGAATGATTGAACCCACTGCTCGTAACATTTCTCAAGTCAGTTGAAACCATCAACCAGTTGCTTTTTGAGGGAGTGGTGTTGGGTACACCATGTTTTTTTTGGATCGTGAAGTATGTTTGGGGTCGGCGCTCGTCGCAGAAAGGACATGGAAGGACTTCTTCTTGGGGCGCAACTTTTTTGATTGGGGAGGACAAGTCCGACTGCATCCCCAATCAGGAGCATTCTGGCGTTCCAGCTTGCTTCAACCAGAAAGAGGTGAATACCACTAGAAAAAAAGGAATGGAGGTGTTCATGAAATCGCATGTTGAATTGTGCCCAACAATCCATTGTCCCCAGACAGACATGTGTGATCATGTGTGTTTGTCTCCGCAAAAGTCGAACCATATCAACCACCAGTTGGTGATTGTGCACTCTACTCTGAAGCCACACTATACACACATATAATATATATATATCAAATATATATATATATGCATAAATAACACCAAACGTGTGTTTTACTTTGCTATTGCTAGAGGCCCAATCTGTGCTTGCTGGGTATGGAATGTACACGACTTGAGCAACAGAGGGCGCAAACAACACATAATCTAAAATTCTAAAAAAAACATGGCACAGATGGCAAAACTGGCAGGTGCACACTTGGCAGGGCTCACTCGACCGGAAAAGGAGGATACATTCTCATTAGGCCAAGCTTTGGGGTGAGGAGGGTGTCTTTGCCTCCGGGGCAGTTGGAGGTCTAAAACAGCTGCCGAGCTCCAAGACCAACAGCTGCCGAGCTCCCATGTGGTAAGTATGCATGGTCGCAGTGGCAGAGTGGTATGTGCAACCCCAACTTGTCTCTGGCCCGTAGACTCCATGCTTTATGGCATATATATCCCTACATTGACACCCTAAACACACCCAATATAGGCAAGTATGGCATACATGGAGCCTTTGGGTACCACGCATATTGTGTGTGTGCCTGATCCGAACTTAGGCAGAAGCCTTGAGAAGTTCTCCAGAAGGCCTGCACACCACTCTCGAAAATGGTGTCATTTGATTTGTTGAAAGGGATGGGCGAAAAGCTTTTTGTGACGTTTTTAAATTAACATGGGTTATACAATAGAGTTGCAGGAAGCGCAGAACACAAAGGGAGTCCCGAAAGGGATGTTGCCCTTTTAAAGCTCAGCGAAACATCCAATCCAGATTGCAGAAACTGATTTGCTTGGTAGGACAATCTTCAGCCGTTGGGGAGCGCAAAGGCAAAGCAAAAGGCCATGTTTCGCACGGCGGTTTCAGTCATCTGAAGAGTGACACTAAAATATGAAAATCAAACGCGACCCCCCTACAAGAGTCTAATATTCTAATATCCATTTACTTCTAATTTAGCCTTCACTTCCCTTTTTGTCTTTGGATGTTCGAAACTTGAAGTTTATTGTCACTCTTAGGGCCGACCTTGCTTTCTTTAGCATGCAAAAAAGGCAAAACCCCTGGGTAGCCTCCTGTTGGAACGGATCAACCACGCACAGATAGTGGAATATCATTCATGAGCTTTCTAATAGTTGTGATTTCCTTTTCTTTTATTGCTACTGATAGTTAGCCAAATCATTGACCTACAGAACCAGTTTAGGAAAGCCTAAGGTTGTGGCTTTTTTGGCCAACAGGGGGCACAGAGAAGAAAGCTGGAGGCCCCGCCCCGACAAGCCAACGATTCCACCTTGCCGGGATTCTTTGAAGTAGGGTTTACAAACATGCGTTAGCACCGAAGGAGGACTTCTGAAATGCTACACAAACAAACAACAAATCAATACTGCATCATAGGGTTGATTGGTACTTGTACCACCTGTCAAGCCATCCGAGAAAGTTGCACTGGCATGATATCCAGTTCCCAAGTGGTTCATGATGTGTTTTTGTTTCTTTTTTCCCGATGCAGTGCTAGCATGGAGTTGCAGACACCTGGATACATGTTTTACTGTACCCACGGACAACAACTACATTGTAACTACATCACGATTATGAAGGGGTGAGAAGCCGAAAACATCTCACTACATACCCTGCGCATCAAATGACGCGACTCGCGACTCTTGAATGTTTGGTGATTACAGGGCTAGGATTTGGCTTGATTTGATATGCCTTGTTCATTCGTCATGCGTGCGCGGGTGTGTGTGTGTGTGTGTGTTTGTGTGTGTGCGGTTTAGAGCAGCAGTGCAGTGTCCACTATCGATCCTGAACATGGCTGCTAGACTTCTACTGCTTTGTGAGTTCTCCCGATCTCAAACAGCGGAGGTGCCTGCCAACACTCCTCGCCGTCTTGCAAGTGCAAGGTATCACTAGTCATCAGAAGCTCTAATTTGGAAAGGCCAAACATTCCTTGGTCATTGAAGTCCAAGCTCATACAACCATATATGGTCACTGCGCTGGTTGTTGTTTCGTGTCGGTGTATTCTGTGCAGGTTCCAAATGCAATAGAACAGCTTCTCAAGAGTAATTTGCAGTAATACTTCTTCACCGCCAAGCCGCTAGCTTTTCAAGCGCACTCAGTAGTTGCGTTTTCAGAATTTCTTTCCTTTGAGAGTCCTTCAGGTTCTATACATGCATAGGTACACCTTATATAAATGCAAAACTGGATTCGCACTGGAGCCCCCTCCTCTCCCTGAGCTTTGTTGGCAGATCTGCAATATTTGTGTCGGCGGTGTGAACTCTTTATTCTAGTGACCCTAGTGCTATACTTGATGGAAATCAATGCCAAGAGACTCAGCGGCCTTTGACCAGCAAAGGGCACCATCAGATCCCTCCAAGATTCATTGAGTAACAGAAATGCATGGAAACCCGGGCTTATTGTGTTTAGGTACTTCATCTATAGACAAAATAGGTTCGTGACGCTGTGAATCTCTAGCTGATTTATGGAGTCCATGGTGGCTCCACACCTCCTTTACCTCCCACACGGTCTGGGGACGTGTGCCGGACTGACCCCGAGCCATTTGATGGAGCAACGCAAAAGAAAGCACTCCCGACCGACTTAGAAGCCTAACGCTACATGTCCCACGTTCAAAGACGTTTTTTTTGACGAAGTGATACTTGAAACAGAAAGACACATATCACAAATATAATACCATGATATACCATGAATCGGCCTGAAAACCTGGAAAGAATGGCAAGACAAACACAGCAGAATACACACTATTTTCTTTTGGGGGGGGTTGTGTCATGCATATACAACCACAGGAAGCCCACATCACCCCGCCACCGGCCCCCACTCCGCAACCGCCAACGATAACGATGAAGTTCACACGAAACCACCCGGTGACTGAGGGAACCGCGGGCAACTATATGTGTATATTATTTACTGTATATATATAGATATATTCATACGTCTACTATATATATGTATATTGAAGTGTGTGTGTGTGTGTTCAGATGATATATATATATATACATGTTGATTTATACACACTTTAATTCATCAAGAGGGTGGCTCAAAACCTTTAAAAAGGGCCGCTTCACCCACCTCTCATGTTTACCTGGCTCTCCAGAAGACTGTTTTTGACACCAAAATTTGGGCTTGGATTTGATTGAAGACCTTTATATATACATTTATAACTTTTCGGGACCGGCTCATTCTGAGGAAGGATGATATCTGCTTACTGTACTTGTTCCTTTCTTGGACAGGCCAGCCGCCAGTTCCACAGGCAAGGCCGCAAGCGCAGCGCAGGTTTGTCTCATCCTCGCTTGTGTTTGTTGGATTCATGAATTCAGACCTCAGTTTAGGTCGCTCGCCATCGCCTATGGCTAATATCATGGAGAGGGTGATGGAGACAAAGAGGGTGGAAAACAAACACAACGTCAAGCATGTGTTGAAAGTCGCAGAGCAAGAGCCTTTGGGAGGTGATCATCCCTATAGATAGTGCCGCAAATATGACCCCCGTTGAAGTGGCTTTGCTTGTCCACTGTTGGATGATGGTGTTTCTTCCGCTCACTGTCATTTTCCAGCCTTACACTCATGCTCAGCACTTGGCATCACTTAAACACTTCGGAAGGGTTTGTTTCTCGTGGGCTGGTGTTGTTCTACACTTGCTCCTTTGAGCTTCGGGTTGTGTCAAGATTGCTGACTAAGTCGGTGGAAGATAAGCCTCCAGGCTTTTCACCCTCATGTAGGCTGTGCTGTGCTGTGCGTGCGTGCTTTGGTGGGATGTGTTCCAAAAATGGATGGGGACAAGGACAAAGGGAATGGAGAGGAAAAGGAATGGGAAAGGAAATGGAACAGCACAAGGAAGAAGAACAGGAAGAGAAAGAGTAGTAGGAGAAGAAGAGAAGGATGAATCAATGAAAGGAAACTTAAAAAAAGAAGAGGACGAAAAGGAGAGAGGTGGGAAGGTAGTCGAGGCAAGAGTGCTCAAGGGCAAGTCCTGAGTCCTGCGGCTAATCTACAACATGCAAGCAACATGCAAGACAAACACACATACAGCACATAACACACATAACATATATAAGCAATATGTACACCACATGTCGGGTGAGTTCGATACCCTACTGAGAGAAACAAGACAGAAGGAGAGACACACCTATATACTGAATATATATATATATATGTATAGACACATACTTTCGCAAGTGTAGGGGAGGATCACATGCACCAAGACCGCCCAGACCAGGTCACCATAAACTGTTCCACTTCACGTGTTGCTGACCGTGCCGCGTTCGGAAGGTGTTGAGCCTCTTCGGCGAGAGCTCGGGGATTTTCGCTGCTTGGCCGGGGCCTCCGTCTTCGGTGGGGTCTCGGCCATGCGATGTCATACTCCTGATGAGCTGTCCCAAAATCGTCAAGCATACGATATGGAACAGTTGCCGTGCGGGAGACATGGTTATGGAGACATGATCATGCAGATTGGTTAGGTCATGGTTATCTTGCACCAGACCAGCCTTCGCCAGGAAGGGGGCCAAAGTGACTTGCGCTCTTCACAAGGGCGGGGGTCCCTCAACTGGGCGGGCTTCCGGTTCGGGAATTTGCAGATCTCAAGATTTGGAGTAAGTAGCTGTATAGCTGAGTAATGCCAGGTCTTCTTACTCATTTAGCCGGGTAGAAACAGAAAGCGTTTGGCAACTTTCACTGCAGCTGGCCCCTGGCCTGGAGTCTTCTGTCATCGGCATGTGGAGGCGAAGGAGAGAAAGTGGCTCGAGCTGCCCGAGAGCTTTTAGCACGGAGGTGCGGAACGGAGGACCATCCTGGAGGATCTTGTGATTTCTTAAGGAGTCTGTGGTTGCCCCGGCCCTGACCCTGACTGCCAGGACTCAGGACTGAAAAACAGGGCCCATCTTTAAGGAAACCCCTGACCCTGACTGCCCCGGCTGGGTAGACTGGTCTACTTTCCTTCTTCCAGGGGGTCAGAATGCCTGGTTGCGGTCGATACTATGACGATCGCCTTTTGAGTGCACCGATGCATCAATGGTGGGTCCCAGATTTGGTATTTGAAGAATGCCAGGAGCCCCCTCCACACATCATGGAAAAGTCTGTAGATTCAGACCGAAAGCTAAGCAAGCGTTGAATTGCTAGACCTTATAAACCTGACACTGCAAGGCTGGGCTGGGACAGCAGGCTGACCTGGTTCAAAGTGACACTTTGAGATACCTTGATATCTCCGTTTGAGGTCCTCTGCCCCATATTTTCCAAAGGTCTTGGATTCAATTGAGCTGGACATTCTCCGGGGAGGAGGGAGAACAGATGATGGCTCAAAGATACCCAAACGGATGCATCCTTATGGGGTCATATAAATAAAACATGGAGTCCGCAGATGTCAAGAGTGTATCCCAAAACATTGCACTATAGGTTCAATTCTTTCTGTATACATTCCAATTCAGCATGGAAGTGGACAAGCCTTGCTTTGTACGTAGAGGTGCATCGCAGTTCCATTCCCCTTGGCCATTGTGCAGGGCCATGTTGCTGGGCTGGAGCGTTCCTGAACCTAATGTTTTACATCATATCCTTGAGGGTACAATCCCTACAAGTTCCAGTTTCCTTCCGCATTAACTTAACCCAAAACTGGAGGATGCACATCTTGGTTTCATTTGAGCAATATGTCTTCCAGAAAAGGTGACAGTGAGGTTGGGAAAATAACTAGTTTCACCTGCATTGGCCAGCTTCGAACACCGCTCCTTCACTCGCGGGAACACACCAGGAACGGATGTGAAGAGCACGTCACCTACTTCAGCCTGGGCACTGAGCCCCGCCTAGATGAGCTGGGGACGTGGGAGCCTTAGAGCTGCATTTTAGAGCTCTACGAGCTGCATGAAGAGCTTGAGCGAGATGTGAAGGTGTCCAAAGAGGCGACACCCGTTCCATTCGGGTGTACCTCTGAGAATTAACAGAATCATAGAGAAACAGATCGATTGCGTGGGGGGGTTGTTAGGGAGTGTCCAAGCCACATCCATGTTAGGGTTAAAGTTTCCACTTTCTCCAGTCTCCAGCTGGTGGCGGCTGTTGCGTACCCACCCAATCGGCGTCTTCACGCAAGTGCTTTCGTCCCGACCCCACGGAGCAAGAGTAGCGCGTTCGAGTGGCCAAGTGCCAAGCTACATGAAAGAACAGGACCCTGACAGTCAGGCATGGACTGTTTATCACTGGCTTATTCTGCTCCACTTGCGACTAGTGGAGCAGCCTTATTTTGCACATACTTGTTAGGGCAAAGGGTGCTTCTGACATGGATTGGACCAATTTCTGGATCGAATCATGTCCGTCTTTGCGAGTCTTTGCACATGATTGTCAAAGTCTTCAAAATCGTCTCAGTCCTCGAAGTCGCTGACCCGTTGCGCAGAAGAACCACGTCGCTGGCAGGTGCAGAGGGACATTCGATGTGGCACTTCTGGCACGCTTTCCGAATTGCAGACGCAGAGGTCTCGTGAAGAGATTTCCAGGACGCAGAGGTGCCTTGGATCTGTAGTATGGATCAAGTTGTCGGATCAACCCGGCATATCCCGGCTCACGTTGGCTTGGTTGGCTTGGTGGGAAGATGTTGGAAGGCCTGAGTAAACCTGGGCCAAAGCCAGGAGTCACACAGGAGTGCTTAATGGAGGCTAAGGGTGCCCATTATCCACTCACTTAGGGACTATAAGCACCACCCGTTTGTGACTCCTGGTTCAAGATGTGAACTTGGAATTGTCATTCACTTGGCTCCCTATCATTCCCCTCAGGGCACGATATTGCAACAGGGTGAGCTGTCATCATTGGCGAGCAGAAAAATCCTCAGCCCTCCGCAAGGGTATATACAAGGCTCGCAGAGAAAACATGGAACATATATACATATATAATCATATATATATACTATGTTTCCAGGCTTCGCAAACAATGTTGCCTTGTGACCAGGAGTGTTCGAGGGAGGCCTACTTCTTCATTCTTTTTTGTTTTTATCCACGAGTATTGGAAGTGCATGGTCAATGGCATGGCGCCTTGGTAAACTGATTGTCTCCACGAACAGCCGGTTGTTCAATGTTTCTGGGAGCGAGGGCAAGATACGAAAACAGCTCGAGTGAGATTGAACGCATCCGGTGTTCGTCGGATTGTGTTAAAAAACAGTCAACCCATGCAACCAGCAGGTGCACATTGTGAACTGTATTAAGCCATGGCGCCGCTGAAAACCCGCCAATTGCCAAATGCTTTCTTCACGGTTGATCCAATCCACCTAGTATGTCTACAGGTCTAGTTTGGATGGATTGGACATCATGAATCGTATATTCGAATTATCAATCCACCTGTTATGTCTTCATCCTGGGTTGGATGGATCGATGGGGTCTAACAATGTCCATCAGTATTCCAAATCATGAATTCTTCTATTAGACACCCATCAGTTCAAAGTGATTGGCTTATTTCAGCGAACCTCGCGCCAAAAACCATCAAAAAAACCTATACACCGATATATCAGGATACCCTTCTGCTTGGCCAAACAGGTGTTTAAGTTTAACAGGTGCTTTTAACACGTGTTTTCGGGGGGGTCCAGCTGGGTGCAGACGTTGCTGGGTGCCAGGTGCTTTTGGAACCCCCTGCCCTGGCTGGGCGCCAGATTCCGTTAACTACGCGGGCGACGCGAATCGCGGCAGGTGTTCGCTTCCTGGAAAGGATACACCTAAACGGTAAACAAAAAAGAAAACAAATATATATATATACACATATATATATATAGAACCATCATGGAAACAGATAGAAACCATGCAAATTTGCTTGTTTAATGCAATCTTAGGTTTTGCTCCAGTGGCTGTTCTTTGTTGCAACAGTTTCAGCGCCAAAATTCTAGGTGGTTTCGTGGGAGAAATCCATATAAATCCCCTCCTAGTTCCCCTCCTTGCAGCCTGGGAGGTTTGTTGCTGATAGCTGCTAGTCAGCTGCTAGTCTCTGCAGCGGTGACCAACTGGCTCGCACTACCGGCCCGCGCCAGTCGCTACGACCTGGCAAGTTCCACAACCTCCGTGGGGGCAGTTTCCAGTTTCATGCAACACACGCTCAAGCCAGCCTAAACCGCCGTTCGGTTCCAGGGGTGTTCCCCCCCATCTGCGGCAGAGTCAGGTCTTCGGAGCTGAAGGTCCTGGTTTTTTCCTTCACCCTTTTTGACCTGACGAGGTCGGTGCTTCGAGCATCGGAACCTCCGGAGACGAGCCGACCGAGGCTCCGAGCTATGGCAAATTGGAGGAAGGAGAGAGGCTGCCAGGGCCCCAGAACCGGAGCGCCGTCTTATACGGCGTTTGTTTTTTTGCTTTTAAAGCTCCGCCGGTCGGCGTGTTGGTGATCGGTGCTCAGTGTTGGTGTTCCCATCGTAGAGGATAATTTTTTTGAAGCTTTGGTGCGTGTTGATTGGGTCCAAAAATTATTCCCCGCACCTCCGCGGAGGAGATGTTGTTAAAGAACTGAGCGTGCAAAACTCTAGAGATTGATTTCACGAGTTTTTGATGTTGATAGATCAGTCAACAGCATGTACTGCAGTATGATGGGAGGGTGTGGGAGGCGACCAAGAGCTGTTTTGCATTTTCCCGATGAAGCCCTCCTATTAAGCTCACCCAGAACAAACGCATCTGAACTCAGCTCCGCGGAACGTAGATCAACCGCGGTGCGGGAGAGCTTGCCCATTGCGCGGGACGCAAGCGCGGTGGAGCGAAGCCGGTCAGGTATACAGCTTGGATCGCTTTGGCCGCTGCAGCTTGTGTCCCCAAAGGACGCGTTTTCACGCGCTCCACTGGGCGATTGGCACATGAATTCATAGAGAGGGACGGATTACCCAAAAAAGGATCAAAAAGGACAACGGTTGAAGAGAAAGGAGCTCCCACTGATTTTATGGGGGGTGTCGGTGTATATTCATCAAAGGTCAACATTTCTTGATGCATCATGGAGCAAGGACTCGATCTACATGTTGCAGGGTGTCCAGAGATTAGCCCCTGTTAGCACAAGAGGTTGTTCTTTGGGGTTATATATATATATATATTGTGTGTGTGTGTGTTTTTTTTTCAAAGACTTCTTAAGCTATACATCAGTGTACGTTTGATTAGTCGTGGTTTTGCAGGCTAACCTGGAGATTGTACATGCTGCACCTACCGGGGTGCTTTCTCGAGTGATATAGAGTAATGTTGAGAAATAATTCCCTCAAGCTATGGACGGCCATTTGAGTTCTGGTTTGGTCCTTTGATCAATCCTTCGTAGTCTACGTTTGGTCCCTTGTGCAGTCAAGGCAAATATAGAGAGAAGGCATGAAAAGGCATGGCTATACACCGTGCGCATGTAGGCAATCCTGAAAGAAACCCTCGGCAGCTGATGTTGCGTAAATTTGCTGGAAGCCCATCCCATCCCATACCCAAACAAGTAGCGCGCAGGAAGCTACCTTTCACATGGCGGAAGGTTGGCGCAAGCAGTTGCATCAGCTAGGTGTTGCCAAGACGATGACCCTTTTGACACCTATGCCCTGGAAGATTCACATAGAACTTCCAAAACCACAGGCTATGAGGATGCTATGGTTGAAGGATAGTCGGCTAGTCTTCCGGAAGCAGGTCCATGCCGGTTTCATCGAAACCGCCATGCGAAACCGGCGGTTAGCCTTCCCAGGGCTTCTCCTGGTGGCGTGCCGCAGCCGAACCATGTCCGTCGTCAGGCATCGAGGATTCGTCATGCTCGGCGGGCCGGGTGGACGGTGCGGAATCGTTTGGAGGTGTCAGATGGACGTGAGGTTTCAGAACCCGGTTGGGGTGTCCTTCCCTAAGGATCCAGTCGTACCCTCTGAGAAGGTGGGACTGGGGTGGGTGCCAGGAGGGTTCAAGTACCTTTTGAGGAGGTACTTGGATTCCTAGGGCTTAGTTTTGGTAGGCACATTGGCCTGTTTGGTAGGCACATTGGCCCTTGCCATGGCGCCAATCGAGGAGCCACAAGCACTCGGTGTTTGAAGCGTTTTTTTGATATGGTTTGACCGGTGCCACTTCTAGAGGACGATCTACGGGACTCGGTGGGGTAAATGCATCTACTAGATTCGTTTTCATTGACACGCATGAGTGGCTGGCGATGTTTCTGGACACCACGATTGGAATGTAACTCTTGAAGAGGGCAATCCTATTTGTGATTGTGAGCCTCCAGAATCGGGACGTGTCTTTTGCCAGAAAAATCTCCAAGGAGCCTCGAATTGGGAGCCTTGCATATGGTGTGCTTTGTCCCCAAGCATCGAAAATCCAGGGTCAAAGATTCATGTGAGCGACTGCCGACTGACCACAAAAATGGTTGGTTGACTTAAAGGATAAATCATGTTAATTTATTGGGGGGCTACAGAAGTATGTTTTTTGTCCGCTGCTCATCCATATAGACCCCCAAACAGGCAGAAACGTAGATCCCCGCTAAAAATGTGTTGGAAACCGTTTCTATCTATTTGGAGGGGTCACTATATATAGTATAATATAATATAATATAATATAAAAAATATGTATATATATATCATATCTTCTTTTTAGGTCTATTCCTTCTCATCAGTGCCTGGCCTGTGCTGGTTTTTCTTATCACAGAAGAGATAGAATAGGAGTAATAGGAGACAACGACAACTCCACTTGGGCATATTCCTCGCCGCCAGCGATATTGCCAGATTCTACTCCAACATAGGCTCGTTGAAGTGCTCATTTTGGATGCATCGAAAGCACTAGCTGATCAGGTTGATGCGATGTATCAACATGGGCGTGTGGTTGGGGAGCCCAGTGTTCAGTGGGCCTGGACACCCCCAGCGGAGCCTCTAGGTTTCAGGTGTCAAGATGGTATCAGATGTATCAGATGTCCAGCATGCTTTTCCTGGAGCTGTTGTAATCATTGTGTTGTCTATATTCATATTTAACAGTGAAACCATGCTGAGGCCCACGCGGCCGGATCCTTGATTTGTGAAAGCCCCCTCTCGTCAAGCATAGTCAATCAACATTTAGAAAGGTCACCACAAAAAGAAAAAACAATTCCTTTGTATAGTTGATTTGTTCTAAAGGGATCCAAAACAAGCACCAAGAAGTCCTTTCCTTGTCAGTTTTCCTCAAATTCCCCCAATGCTGAACACAAGGAAATCTAAGGAGATCAAAGTAGATCAAAAGGAAACCACAGAATTTTGGTGGTTCCGTGTTGAATTTGATTTGAAGGGGAGGATGCTTGATAGCCTTTGGCTGTGTTTTGATGTCATTCTATGTCAGAACTTTGATAAAAGGGATCAGCTCAGAGTCGGAGGACGAAAGAGTGATACATAATTGGAAAACATTGGGAAAAACAGGATTCCAAGCAATAGAAAGCCCAAAGGAAACAGCATATAACTATACATCGTACATATATATATATATATTGTAGAAGGAACCTCAGTGGTGAGTTGAATTGAATGGACCAGGACAACTGCCCTTTGTTTTTTTAGACCACTAGTCTATAAAACACAAATTCCGGAGTGCTGCGGGCAGCTTTTGGATATGTTCCTTGGTTCCCCCGAAGCACGTTTGCAAGATTTAACATTGATAAGTCAACATCCAACATGGCCCGCAAAAAGAACGAGACACATACTAACATACTGTATAGAGAATGCATATAGCGTGACCATATACAAGAAGCATTTGCATGATATTTATTCTCATCACAACCAATGTATATATTGGATAATATTGGATACATATCTGCAACATGTGTTGGTAAAAATGTAAACAAAAAACATCAATATACAAAACAAAACACAACAAACTTCAACAAACATACACAAATATCATTTTATACAAGATGAAATATAGACATCATTGCCCTGTGCCACAGGTCCGCTGGCCTCCGAGCACGCGTGGTGCACCGTGCCTCGTCGGTGCGAAAGAAGCACGGTTTACCCTTTTTGCTCACGTGACTCATGTCACAAGCGCTAGCAAATGGGAAACTCTGTTCCTGAAACCAAAATGCTGTTTTGTTATGTGTCCATTTCAGTCAGAGGAATACATCAAAAGCGCTAGCTGAGAGTGATGGCACTCGGAGCTTTTGGATGGTGAAGAACTCATGTTTAAATTGCCGGGCCTGCTGACGAACGCATCTTCCGGCTGTTGTCGGAGGGCCGGATCAAACACCATTGGGGTTGGCGTTGTTGTGGTTGGACACCTCATCGATTTTTTTTTGCCAGGGCACAAGTTGCATGAGTTGCATGTGCATGAATAGATTGGACGCATTTAGAATGCCGCCACACATTCAACCCCCCACATGTTGCACCACTACTTCTTGTCATCCTAACCCCTCACTCCACAGCGCGCAGCGCTCAGGCTCAGCACATGCTGGGCTTGACAGCCCCATCCACTTTGTCGGGGCACCCGGGACACCTGACATAAAGTGAAGCTCAATCGGCTGTTGATCGCGCGACATCTCTAAAAGTACTTGGGCCAATATCCAATTGCCAAAGCGTTTTCCCATACTAAGCATTACTCTAGATACATGGCTGCAGGGGCGGGATGTTCTTCCATTGAACGCATGTTGGGAAGTCATGTGTTTGAGGACTGTTGAAACTTACAACTCGTTTGATTCTGTTTCATGTTGGGTGGCAGGACCATTTGAAGCTTCCTCAGCTTTATTGGGTGATGCTTTGTAGACTGAGGGCAGTTGCACTTTGCAAAGCGCACTGAGGCTTTGCAAGACACCAACCAGTTTCAGTTGGTGGCTCTTCGACTTGCAGCCTTATGACTCATATCATAACTGTAAATAGCACTGTAGTACATAGTTACGAAGCTTTCGCGCAAGCAGGTTGTCAAAGACGTGTGATTTGGCTTTGTGAAGGAGTGGCATAGCAATATAAAGGTGCTGCCAATGTGTCTCCCATCATTTTCTTGAGCAGAACCTTGGAGCGCTTGGAGGCTTTTTTGCTGTGTCGTGCTTGGCACGGCTCAACATGTTTTGTGTTTCATTTTTTGTTGACCAGATGTTTCCCAATCACGGCTTAAGACTCATGATTGCACAATACCAGGCATATGTTTGCAACATGACTGCTGTAGGATCCTTAGGGTTTGTGTTGCGAGCTGTCCTACAATTTCACCGAATGAGAAGGGTGACAGTAGCGCATGACATCGCTGGGGCCATGCGCCTGGTCTGCGCATGTTTCGCCCGCAGCGCTGGGAGGGCAAGGACAAGGAAGACGGCGCAAAGCTCATAGCAAAGAAGTGAGAATGTGTCGTCCGTGTTACGCAGCAAAAAAGAACAGTTTGAGCCCACCTGGAGGAAGTTGCAATTGAGACTGAATAGGCTCGGAGGTCTAAGGGTGAATATCAACATAGATTCATCGCAGGAGTTCTTTTAATGATGCCAAGCCGTCCGAGGTGCTACCCTCGGCCTTTTGAGAAGAAGAAGGAGCGACTGAGTTTTTGCACGCTGTAAAATTCAGTGCATTCCAGTGCCGAGATTGAATGCAAATAACCAAAAGCCATGTCGAAGGGAATGAGGCAAGCACCTCAACAACCGCCTTTGGGCGAATGAGTTTTGGACCTATGCCGGTATAAAGAGATTTTGATGTGGCACCGGTCCATGACTTTCTCCGCATCGCATCATCCTCAAGAGCACTGTGCTGCCCCACCGACACAGTGATCAGTCGGATCTTTGATTCGCCCATGTCGAAGGTCGCTGCGCTCAGCTTTGCCCTAGCCATCGACGCCGGTCATGGCTTTGTGGTCCCTGCTCGCACCAATGGCCAGGCAGAAGTATTCCGATTGATTGATAAGGTTAACATAGGGCAACTAGAAGCACATTTTGGAGCGGTCTTCAATAACATATTGAAGTCAACACTTTTTGAGATCAGCAGACGGCACAGATTGAAAAAGAACGATTGAGCCCCTCCAGGCGTCCGCCGCAGCCGCCTCACAGACGGCAGCTGCGACAGCAACATCCCCGGCACCTGCGATGGGAGACGCCACCATCTATGGCACCGCAATG